TTCACTTGACACGCTTTTCGGTGCAACTGTACTGTTGTATTTTTACCCAGTAAAACACTATTCATCAAATTTCCAGAAACTTGCCTAAGCACTTAATTTTTTGTTATGAATCCTTTTCCAGGGTTAGTTTTCTCATTTGAGGCCTTCTACTAACATTTTACTGTTTAGGGTTAAGTGTTTGTCAAATTATCGTTTTACCCTTTTTACGTATTTTAACCCAGAACTCAGAATTTTAACTTATCCTACCCTTTAATCATTGTTTAAACTATAATTATATGTTTTAAAAATATGAGGTGCTATATTGTCTTACTGAGATTTCTTGTTAGAGATCTCACCCCGTGTGGGGATATTTTCAGGTACAGGTACTTCTGAGGTTGAGGCCTCTAGTGGCAGGAGGCCGGAGTTGAGTTGAGTTGAGATGATGCATGCATCTTGCTATGTTATTATGATTTTGGCCTTGTTGTTATACCTTTATGGCTATTGTACTTGAGACATGATTTGATGATTTTGTTGCTTTATTTAGTGAGCATGGGGGTTGTCCATGCCACATTTGAATAAGTTGTGATATTCATATTGGAGTTGTATTATTGTATGAGGACATGTCTAGTCTACAAGTTGTAATTCCATGACTTGATACATTATTTATATTATGAGGTTATTCAATTACGTTATTTATTGCAATTTACATACCGGCAGTTTTTGAAAAAGATTCATTGAGTTAATATGAAAAGGTTCATAATTGGAGATGTTTTTAGCTTCCACATTTATTGAGCTGCGCTTATTACCATTTATATCTTCAATACACCGGGTGCACACAGGATGTTACAATGAGGTTTGTTGTGGGTTGTAGAATTGTTATGACTTGTTGATCAAGTTATTGATGATCATTGTTGTATGATCATTGTAGTTTACCTCTCACAGATTCAATAGAGGTGGATTGAGCTTGGAGCTAACATTGGAGTACATTGCTTGTGGAATTGAGGTAAACTCTTGGAGCTGGTGTTAATCCCCTTGTGTGTTCCATCATGCCCAAGTTGGGGGTGATGGTTGGATGTGTGCTCTTTGATAATGCATGTAATAGTATGTTCATGCATTATTGACATGTTGATTGACATGCGAGTGACATGTTGTGTGATATTGCAATTGTGATCTCTGACCAGTAGATGTGTTGGTTTGGACTTCCACCGGTTTATGCTCCTTTGGGGAGTTCCGGTCGGGTTTTGCTGTAGAGTCGTCTCTGGGAGCGGCACTAGGGAGCTCTAAATATGGGACTTCCGCTGGATTGGTCTCCTTAGAAGTTCCAGTTGGGTTTTCCATGGAGACTCTCAACCATGGGAAAGGCGCCAAGAAGCGTCTCGGGAGAAGTTTGATGGGGTCCTTGAACGAAATCCTTGTAGGGATGTTCTTGGATTGTGCCAAGTTAGTTATATGATTTTGTATGTTATACTGTTCATATATGTATCATTTCATGCACATTGAGTGAGCCCTTAGGCGGAGTGATCCTCCAGTGCCATTAGTTTATTGATATATATATATATATATATATATATATATATATATATCTCACCCCTCTTTGGGGCACCATTTCAGGTTCAGGTGAGCACATTGGAGTTTCGGGCAAGAGGCCGACCTAATGGTGGAGATAGATTTTGGTGCATGAAATTTATACGTCATTTTGGAAGATTTGTAAATGTACATGTTAGCATTCATTGTGTAGAGGACTTAATATATGAACATGGTATTGCATGTAGTTGTATTTACCATGCTTTTGTTGTTCATATGTAATTCTAAATCTCCTAATCATTAGTTGTATTTTGGAATCCAATTGTATATGCCTCATTTTTTCATTTTGGATATTGGTAAGCATGGGGGATGTTAATGCCACTTGGATTATATTTAAGATTTGGTTGTTGTAAAGAATATCATATGGAAGTGTATATATTGATGGAAGGGTCAATGAGTTATTGGATGTATTGAGTTGTGAAATAGTCAAGTAAATATTGGATGATAATTGATTAGGTACATTATTGGAAAAATTGGCAATGGTTAAAAATATAAACAGAGTGCTGCCAATTTTCATATCCCATATGATAGAATTGGACCCCTTGGCCTCTTGGAAGTTATAAATCTTTCTTTTATCATTCCAACGAGATCAAGATTGTGTAAATTGGATTAGTATAACTCAAGTTATGTTTGAAACATCAAAGTAGGTTGAAATACCCTATTTTGGTGCCCGTCGCCGGGCCGGGCCCCTGTGGAATTAGCATCCATTTTCTTAGAAAATTCTTAAATTGAGCTACGGTACTCCAAATTGAGTGCAGTTTGAACCCACGCGAAGCTAACGAAGAAATATATAACATATTAAGAAATGATAATCATTGTGGAAGTATAAAATTCCTAGATTAAATACAAATTGAAGGCATTTAGTGTTAAACATGGATAAAATGAGTTTTAAATTTTGTTGGTTTATGGGAACCAATTAGCAACCTTCAAATGTAAGTTGTATGGTATTAAGCTACTGTATTCATAATTCGGCTATAAGTTTTGATTTATGATCACAGTTAGTATATTGTCTGATGTGATTATTTTAAAAGTGCAAACGATATTAAAAAGAAAAAGTTTTCCCATAATTTTCAAATAACTGCTCTGATTGTGACTGCACTTAATATCATAATTGATGACAATACACCAGTCCAGTAATGGGGTGTTACAATATGGATGTTGTCATGACTCCACGATGTAAGCTTATGACTAAGTATTATTTATGATTAGAGATATTTCATATTATTGTTTGTATTGCAATTACATAAAGATTGTTAAAAAGAAAAAGTTAATTGATTTGGTTAAATTAAATTAATCTTCATAATTGGATAAGTAGCTTCCGCCATTTAATTAAGTTGCGCTTATTACCATTGTATGTTTAATAGACTGGGTGCACACGGTGTGATATATATGGCATATGTAGTCTTATTGAGTTTGAGTATCTCATTTTGTAATTCCATGGCTCAAACGATAGGTATAGCTGCCACGCAATCGTATTTCTGTTGTTGTCAAGATTTGAGAGTGAACTTGAAAATTTTACAACTCAACCAATTCTTAACCAAATGGAGCTTATGAGGTATCATTTTAAAGCTCTATATGTGTAATTTTAAATTGTAGACTATCATCATTTATGGAAGTATAGGTTGTTCCCAATTATAAATAGAATTAGAGTCGTCCAAGCTCGTATTTCTTGGTTGTCAATTTGTAGACCATTTTTGTAAAAATCATGTCTATTCCATTTCTTCTCCGAAAGAAAGGAATAATATATCATTGTAAACCCCCAGAAGTCTAATTGGATGTGTTCAAATAGTAGAATTTATGGGCAATCCCAGTTTCGAATTGTTTAAGTGCTGCCAGGATTTGCATCTCCTATCAAGTGTTAAATCAGGGACCTATTTTTGACAAATCCATATTTCACTCAAATCTTAACGAAACTTAGCAAATGAGATATCAAATTATAGCTTTAGATGTTTAGTTTTTGGTATCAAAATATATTGATTTATGAACCTAAGGGGTCTGTTCCTAGTTTTAGATTGAGTATGAGCTTCCAGATTTTTGTTTCCTCTGTTTGTTATTGAAATTCGTTAATCATTATGTTTAGTTCAAAACCACTGAAATCTTGGATTTTCTATATGTAATGGTGTGTTCATGTTAGATTTGTGGTTAATTACTCATAATTGATGATTTAGCATGTATGGGAATATCCACATACATGTACATAGAAAGAATCTAAAGAGTCTTTTATGATGTTTTAATGGGTTATCCATCAAGTTCAAGTAGAGATGAGTTAAGTATAGTAGCATGTTAATGAAAAAGAAAAGTTAATCCACCTTTTACAAGAGGATAATTGTTTGAATTACATGTATAGGTAACAAAGTAAGTCAATTTTATTATTGATTATGAATTTTTCTTGCTGCACTTAATACTATAACGAGTTAATATGCCAGGTGCACAAAAGATGTTACAGTTGGCATCCTTTTAATTATTTAAAGAAATTTGATAATAAATGTCTTAATATAGTCAAGGAGTTAAAATATAAAATGTTAAATAAAAAGTATAAACTCTTATCTTGAAAACCTAAAATTAAATAATATTATTTTATATAATTTGAACAATCTAAACAAAGGCTTGAAATGTTTATTTACTAGTCGCCATTTAAAAGAAGCTTTTTTAGTGTTGTAAACAAATTATATAAACTAATAAAAAACTTAAAGATATTGATTATGAATGTAAAGTAATTATATAGCATACCATCACTAAGCAAGTATACTAAGGGGTATGATATTGTCTCAAGTTCAAGTTATAGATATCTAACTACGTTAAAAATTTGGTAGGGGAAATTTTGATATTCTTGTAACTTGCTCACGACTCGATTAAGTGAGTAATTGATCAACCGGTGAAAAAAAAAAAATTACATAGCACAATAATTTATGTTATTATTTAATATAAAATAATAATTTTAATCATTAAACTTTAATATACACAACGTGTATATACGTGGTCTACACAAAATTTTCTTGTCAGGATACATAATTTAACGGGGGAAAATAAATTTAATCTTATTCCTTGAATCAACCTAATAATCTTGGTAACTATTGAGAATAAAAATGATACCTAAAGAATTTGTAAAAAATTTAACATTTTATTAACGGGAAATGAAGCCTCAGGAAAGATTTTATATCAAGCCTCATTTGTAGTTCCCACTTAACGAAAAAAACAAAAAATGTAAACAAATTAAGCACTGCTTTTGATGTATGTGCTGGAAGATGTATTTACCTCCTGTGACATGACGCTCGACTTGCCCTTTTATTAAAGTACAATTTGGATATCTGAATTCTGAAGGGTTAGTTAGCTGGATAACTATAACTAGCCACGCAGATTCCCACCAAACCACATTAATCACTGTTGAAAACCCAGTTCTCTTTTCTCCCTGTATCTGACCCAGCGACCCTGTTTTTCTCTTTCAGGGTGTTCTGTTCATCCATGCGCGTCTCTCTCTAACACAACTACCTCCTACCTATCTACCCTTCACGCTCTTTGAATGCTACCTTCCCTTCTTTTATTTATAACTCACCTTCACCCCATCTTACTCTGTCTACAATTACAATTTACAACCTTTGAACCATTTACTGTTCTTTTCTTTCTTTCTTTTTCTTTTTCTAAAACAACAAATTACTCTCTTTCTCTTTCTTTTTCTTGGACCAAGATGGCACCTTCATTCGATCAAAGTGTTAACACAGTTTGTGTAATGGATGCTTCGGGCCAGTTAGGTACCAGTTTGGTCGAGCGATTACTTCAAAAGGGATACACCGTTCATGCCTCTATTCAAACACATGGTAATTGATTATTGGCTTCTTAATTTTCTTGGCTTTCTTGCTAGCTATATATGTATAGTGGATCATTTTTTTGGAATTTTTTTTTCAGGAGAAGAGCAATTTAATGGGATTTCAGCTGACACAAACAGGCTTAAGATTTTCCGTTCAGACCCATTTGATTATCATAGCATAACCGATGCTCTCAAAGGTTGCTCTGGCTTGTTCTATACATTTGAACCACCTCAAGACCAACCCAACTATGATGTGAGCTTCCCTTTTTTCCTTCTTTGCGTGATTTCATTTTACATCATCTTTTAAGCTGCTCTTTATTTTATTTTTTATTTTTGAATAATCAGTTCCAGCGTAAAAATAAAAATACTCTATAATATTATATTTCTCTGAATACTCTCTGGTACAAAAGCGTTCTAACTGCTAAGAAATTCCAATGAACTTGTGATCATTAAATCACGGGGATAGTGTGATATCATATAATGAGAACTAAGCAGTATTGATCCTTCTCTAGTATGCTGGTAAATCCCCGGAGTCAAATAAAATTTAATTTGTGTTATTGTCGTTCACTTGGATTGCCAAATCAACATGGTGATTATTGCTTCTTCTTTTTTATAATTACATTTATGGAAAAAAAATATTTTTATCTTTGTTGCAGAAAATATTTACCTATTACATTCACATAAAAAAATAAGTAAGTCTCGTCGTGAAAAGAAGAAAAAAAAATTAATGAAATTCATTTACTTTTATATAAATACGATAGATAAATAATTTTTGTAATAAAAATAAAAATATTAAACCCTACACCTATAGCACTTTAAGTCACATCAAATTTTTGGGGCTGGGAAGAGATTTGTATGTGATGGAATTGCTTAAGTATTAATTTGATGTTATACATTTAAATTTTATGCAACAAGAGTACGTAAGAATTATACAAAGGGGGCACTAATTTTTTTAATTCTTTATTTATTTGGATATTATTTTGTATTCAACATATAGTTTTTAAATTTGTACCGAATAGAATATTTTCACTTGTTTAACATCGTAAACACAAAACATACAGTGCATCTGAAGTTCTGAACGATTTTCATGTTTTTCAAGTTTTTTTTTTTTTTTTTTGAAAAATATATGTCCTTTTAAAGGATGCAAACTTTGATCCTTTTAAGAAAGAGATAGACACAAAGAAATGAGATCCATATTTTATTTTATTTTGTTATTATTTTTTCAGTGAGACTTATTACATATCTTTGTATCTATCTTTTTTTAAAAGGATCTAAGTTTATGTCCTACTTGAAAAAGGGTATTCTAATATATTATAGAATTGTAAATAATCTGTACAAAGGGTTCTCTATTTATAGAGAATATTTGACCTACTTTTAACCTAATGGGCTTGGCCCAATACAACAAAGAGCTTGGCCCAATACAACAATAAATGACTAAATAAAAACTAAATAATAATTAAATCAATATTATTTACAACACTCCCCCTCAAGCTGAGGAATAAATATTTATCATTCCCAGCTTGCTAGTAAGTTCTTGAAATCTGTCTGAAGGAAGCCCCTTTGTTAATAGATCAGCCAATTGACGCCCAGTGGGAATGTATGGAGTGGTAATCAACCCGCTATCAAGTTTCTCTTTGATGAAATGGCGGTCAACCTCAATATGTTTAGTCCGATCATGTTGAACTGGATTATGAGCTATACAAATAGCGGACTTATTATCACACAGCAGCTTCATAGGTCCCTCACATTTTATTTTGAGATCATCAAGAACAATTTTCAGCCATAGTAACTCACAAATGCCTTGAGCCATAGCTCGAAATTCAGCTTCTGCACTTGATCTGGCAACCACATCTTGTTTCTTACTTCTCCATGTCACCAAGTTACCGCAAAGAAACATGCAATAACCAGTGGTAGAACGACGGTCAGTCACGGATCCAGCATAATCAGCATCTGTGTAGACTTCTAAAGATAGATTGCCATCACGTCGGAATAACAATCCTTTACCAGGAGTACCTTTAAGATACTGAAGAATTCTCTCTACTGCCTGCATGTGTTTTTCTTTTGGATCGTGCATAAACTGACTGACAACACTAACAGCATAAGCTAGGTCTGGTCTAGTATGGGCCAAATATATCAATTTCCCAACTAGCCGTTGATATTGTCCTTTATCAACTGGAGGACTCTCTTCTTCATAGCCCATCTTGTGATTCTGCTCAATAGGAGTATTAGAGGGTTTACACCCGAGCTTTCCTGCTTCTTTGAGAAGATCAAGAACATATTTCCTCTGGCTGATAAAAATTCCTTTGCTTGAATGAGCTACTTCTATCCCTAGGAAATATCTCAGTTTCCCAAGGTCTTTGATTTCAAACTCAGAGGCAAGCCGTGTTTGCAGAATCTGTCTCTCCACAAAATCATCACCTGTGATAATAATATCATCAACATATACAAGGAGCACAGTAAGCTTCCCATTTTGGGAGTGCTTGAAGAAAAGAGTGTGATCTCCTTGGCTCTGTCTGTATCCTAAGGTCATCATAACCTTAGTAAATCTTCCAAACCAAGCACGAGGTGACTGCTTCAATCCATACAAGGCCTTTTTTAATCTACAAACTTTATTTTCCCCCTTCACAGAATCAAAACCAGGCGGGATTTCCATGTAGACTTCTTCTTCTAACTCACCATTGAGGAAAGCATTTTTCACATCAAATTGATTTATATCCCAATTGTAATGGGCAGCAAGGGATAACAAGATTCTCACTGTATTCATCTTTGCAACTGGAGCAAAAGTTTCTTCATAATCAATGCCATAGGTTTGAGTGTAACCTTTGGCCACTAATCGAGCCTTATATCTCTCAAGAGTGCCATCAGAATTATATTTCAGGGTATAAACCCATCTGCACCCTACTGCTTTCTTTCCGTTGGGTCTATCAATAACCTCCCATGTTTTATTTTTCTCCAAAGCATTCATCTCCTCTTGCATGGCTTGAGCCCAATTCCTATCTTTCAAGGCTTCATGTACTGATTTTGGGATTGCAATAGAATCTAGTGCTGAAACAAAGCTTTTGTGCTGCACAGAAAGATTAGCAGAGGAAACAAAGTGGGAGATAGGGTATTGAGTACAAGAGGGACAGGAGGAACAAGTTTTCTTGTGACAAGATCTTTTTCCTTTTCTAAGAGCAATAGGTAAGTCATCAGAAGTAGAAGCAATGGGTAAGTCATTAGAGATATCAGAAGAAATAGACAAATCATGAGAGGAAATAATATTAGAATCAGAAACAGGAGATTCAGAAGAAATAGGAGATTCAGGACTTACCAGTGGTTCAGACGATTGAGGTTGCTGGTGAGACAGTATGGGTTGTATCTCAGGTGTATTTGAAGGTTCTGACACACCAGGAGCAGACACACTAGGAAGAGAGAAGATTGATCCAGACTCAAAGAAGGAAGGGGACGAGTCTTCTGAAGAACTATTCTCCCCCTGACGATGAGGACCCAGGAAATAAGATTCAGATTCTTGAAAGGTGACATCCATAGAAACAAAAAATTTCCGACTTGGTGGATGATAACACTTGTACCCTTTTTTATAAGGGTTATAACCAAGGAAGATACACTTAAGAGCCCTAGGATCCAACTTACTCCGATGTTGTTTATGAACATGGACAAAGGCAACACATCCAAACACTCTTGGTGGAAGGCTCTGCAATATGGGAACAGAAGGAAAGAAGGAAGTCATGGAATGAATAGGACTGATATTGTTAAGGACCCGTGAAGGTAAACGGTTGATCAAAAAAGTTGCAGCTAATACTGCTTCTCCCTAATAAGAACTAGGAACAGATGTCTGAAAAAGTAGTGCTCTAGCAACTTCAAGAAGGTGACGATTTTTCCTTTCAGCAACCCCGTTTTGTTGAGGGGTATCAACACATGTGAGCTCATGAATCATACCTCTGTCTGAAATGAATTGTGACAGGCGTTGATTGACGTACTCAGTACCATTATCAGATCTGAGTCTTTTAATACCCTTACCAAACTGAGTCTCAACCATGTGATGAAACCGAATAAATATCTCTGGTACTTCAGACTTGTCTTTCATCAAGTATATCCATGTTATCCGAGTACAATCGTCAATAAAAGAAACAAATCACCTAGCACCTGAAACACTGTGCACTTTAGAAGGGCCCCAAACATCAGAATGGATAAGAGAAAAAGGTTCTCTGCTTTTAATAGTGCTAGAAGGAAATGACACTCGATGGTGTTTTGCAAATTCACAAACATCACAATGAAAGGTCTCAACCGACTTATTGAGAAACAGAGAGGGGAACATAGACTTCAAAAGACTAAATGGTGGATGCCCGAGACGCTTGTGATGGAGCCAAATCATAGACTCTGCAGTAGAAGGATGACGTGTCATTAATAACTGATTTTTGCTAGCATGGTCTGGAAGGAGATGATACAACCCATCCTGTTCATTAGCAACTCCAATTGTCTTCTTCGTGGTAAGATCCTGAATAAGACAATGAGAAGGAAAAAATGTGATAGAACAATTCAAATCAGTTGTAAGTTTTTGAGTGGAGATAAGATTAGTAGAAAGCTGAGGAACATAAAGAACATTTTTAAGAAACAAGGAAGGTTGAATTTGAATGTTACCAGAACCAATAACTGATTTATGGGATCCATCAGCTACGGATATAGTATGACTACCAACAGTAGGATGATAAGAACAAAATAACTCAGTACGACAAGCCATATGATCAGTTGCACCAGAATCCAAAATCCATGAGGTTTTAAAATCAGTGCAAGAAGCAAGAAGAGATATAGAACGTGTGCTCTTACCAGATAAGATCGAAGAACTATCATGCTCAGCCATTCTTTAACAAAAAAAGTTAACAACCAGCGATAAAATCAACCAAACAGAATATCAAATGACCTCTGATCAGAAAAATAATTACAGATCCAGACAGAAGACAAGAAGACGAGAAGAATGGTGGTGGTCCGGTCCAAAAACACGGCCGCACGTGCCTCCACGCGCCGGAGAAAGGAGCTGCGCGTGGGATTCACTCGCCGGGAAAGGGGCGGCGCGTGAGAGCGCGTGGATGGGCTTCGCCGGCTGAGATTTTTCTGGTGTGGTCGTCCGGTGAGCGCACACCTGTCTGTGGGTGGTCGCGGTTGAAAAGTCGCCGGAAAGTGGTCCAAACGGTGAAGACAGATCTGATTGGAGGCGATCAGAGGTGTTTCGGTCGTTTGTGGCGGAGGAACACTGCGTAGAATGATAGATCGGAGGAAAAATAAGGTCAACAATGGTCCCCTTGGTCCAAAAGGTCCCCGGAAAAATTTTCCGGTGGCGGCTAATGACGGCAAGAGGCAAAGAAATTAGGGTTTTGTTAAAAAAGAAGATAATATGTGCGGAAGCAAAGCCCTCAGATCGAGAGCTCTGATACCAACTTGAAAAAAGGTATTCTAATATATTATAGAATTGTAAATAATCTGTACAAAGGGTTCTCTATTTATAGAGAATATTTGACCTACTTTTAACCTAATGGGCTTGGCCCAATACAACAAAGAGCTTGGCCCAATACAACAATAAATGACTAAATAAAAACTAAATAATAACTAAATCAATATTATTTACAACAGTCCTGTAAAAGGACACACAATTTTTCCCTTTTTTTCATATCCAGTGTAATTATCTTTGAGGCGAGTTAGTCTCTTAGTATTTTCACAAGTTTCAATTCTTTTAGCCGATTATAATAATAGTGACAAATCAGGCTTAGTTACAATAAAACTCCTCTTCCTTCTTAGGGGATGTTTGGTAGAGAAAAAAAAAATATGTGAAAATTACGATTTTTGAAAATATGATGAAAAAGTGAGTTTTTCAAAAATATTATCAAAAAAATTTATTTTGTAGGTCAAGATATTATCAATTTTTTTATCAAAAATTTTGCATGTAATTTTTTATTTTTCCGGAAAAGTGAAAATATCACCCTTTTGGGTGGTATTTTAATTTATATTTTACATACAAAATAAAATTTCAAAAAAGTGATATTTTCGAAAAAGAATTCATAAATCTTTTACCAAATATAAATAAATTGGATTACCGTCCTCGTTATCCTAGGTTTTTTGTCCCATATATTTATTGCAAGCTGTGTTTGGACTTCACTTTCTGGTCAAAAGCAAAACTACAGCCACTTTTGGTCAATCCTATAACTGTTCTTTTATCAAAGTTACACGAAAATGGGTGCAAAGATTAATGTGCTGGATTGAATAGTAGTAGTATTCACAAAGTAGGGTCAAAAGCTGATGTGTCACTACTTGTCTTGGTACATAGGAATACATAGCAGACGTTGAAGTCAGAGCCGCACACAACGTGCTTGAAGCTTGTGCTCAAACAGAAACCATTGATAAAGTGGTTTTCACATCCTCTGCAACCGCAATCGTTTGGAAGGAGGATCGCAAGTCCATGGAATGTGATTTGGATGAGCGACATTGGAGTGATGTCAATTTCTGTCGTAAATTCAAGGTATATGCACCCACCATTATTTTATTTAATTAGTCTCAGTTTTGATATAGCTAGGAAAATTAAAAAAGTCCAATTCAATATATTCAATATATAAGTTATTCCATGAGATAAAGTTATATTCTCCCACCCAAAACTATAAAATGATCATTTTGGAATTTGAAGAGAAAATACAAACATTTTAAGAAAATCAATATTGTAAGAGAGAAGTAAATTTCTTAAAATATTGCAAGGGTTTTATTCTTTAAACCCATTACAAAACATGTGATAAATTTTATGAAATAATGTTAAAATCAAGATATACGGTGATTAATTAGCTAGATTGACTTTACGATAATATCATTGCCACAAAAGGGAAAGTCCAAGTGAATAAATATTTGAACTGAACAAACAGTTGTGGCATGGGATGTCAAAGACACTGGCAGAGAAGACAGCGTGGGCATTGGCAATGGACAGAGGGTTAAACATGGTGTCCATCAACGCAGGCTTATTGATGGGTGATGATCTCACCATCAAGTACCCGTACTTGAGAGGAGCTGCGGAGATGTATGAAGATGGTGTATTGGTGACTGTAGATTTAGGAATCTTGGTGGATTCCCACATCTCTGTCTACGAGGATGTCTCATCCTACGGTCGATATTTGTGCTTCAACCACATCATCAACACCCACGACGACGCCGTTCAGCTTGCCCGCAAGTCAACTTCTGTAGCTCCTTCCTTACCTCAAAGGTCAGTTAGTTAATGCTCCCAAGTTACTTTCAATCGCAGACCCACCGTGGTTATTTCCGGTCATTTTGTGCTTTTTTTTTTTCTTTTATGATCACACTGTTGATATTTTTTTTTTAAAATATCTCTAATAATAATATATTTAAATATAATATCAATTTAATGTAATAAGATTCTCATCTTATTCGTGTACCTATCACGTGTCAAAAATTGATAAGTCAAAACACAATTTACTTTTCATGGGGGACTGTTAGGAAAATGGGAATAGATCTTTTTATGTGAAAAGGTGAAGACCATGCTAAGATAAAAAAATATATATAATTTTTAAATAAGTGATTGTGATCAAATAACATGATCACACGAAAAATCTATTCCTTGGGAAATTTTAATTTTTTTTTTAAATTTATACGGAGACATATACTTGACAGACGCGCGGGACTCGATACTCAATGCATTAGAATAATATCATGTTTTCAAATATTATTTGATTTTATAGAAAAAAAAATATTGCATTACTTTGATCGAAAAACTTTTTTCTTTCTTTCTTGGTTAAATAGTTTTGGGAAACTATTATGTTAACATTTATACCTTAATTTATGAAAAGTGAAACTGAAATACTTTTATACTCTGCAGCCGTGACCAAGGTAAGGGTTTTATCCAGCAAAGAATAAGCAACAGGAAGTTGAAGAAATTGATGGTGAATTCATTGGGTTGACTCCGATCGCCATCTTTTTATATGCTGCTTAATACAATCTCCACCTGTCTGATACTCTTCTGCCCGTGGTGAAAGTAATTGACATCATCGAAAAATATTATACGTATTGTATGGTCGCGATAAGTTACAAAAGTACAATAATTTTCAATAAAATAAATAAAAGAATTATTTTGTCTATTATTATGATTTGCAATTCATAAAAAGCAGTTATAATAACAACAACAATAATAATAATTAATAACAACATCAACATCAATAATACTTTTATTATCTCAAACTAGTTGGGTTAAGTGATAGATGAACCCAAGAAAAAGTTATGAGAAAATTGAAAAAAATGATAAAAATAAACTTTAAATATATTGTTGGGTCGATATGTGCTCAAAGGAATGTGGGAGCAAAGTATTGATGAACAAGTGTATCTATCCGGACCAAATAATCATTTAATAGCAAATCTATTCAAAATTGTGCAAGTATACACATCAAGTAATATAGGATTTCATATGAGCCCAAGATTATCGTCCTTTGGGAACAAATGTAAAAGTGACGTTCAAAAAAAATGTAACTAAAAAATATAATTAACTAAGAGCAACAGAAAATAAGAAGCATTTCTATCAAGGAACCATAATGTTCTAAGTTTAAGGTTTACCAAATAGCACTTCTCGTCGCAGATTAAACAGAGTTAGAGAATCTGTAATGACTAAGCACAAGGTTTTCCCTTAAAAACTTAAATGAAATTGCCTTGAAAGTGTTGAACCATAGGTCATGAAGATTATATTGAAGTTTTGATGATAACAAAGTATTTACAATGGACCAACATAGCTCAACATGGATGCACTCAATGGAATGCATGACAACAAATCACAAATGGTACTAAAAGACCAAAACCAAGTGCAAAATTGATAAAGATACTTAAATGTGCAAAGTCAAACTTAAAGTCAAAGTTTTAAAGCTTATACAAGTACTAAAAGGCTCAAAGATTAAAGACAAAGTGAAGATCGAAGAAGACTTAGTCATTACTAAATTGTAATAGTTATTTTAGAGTCATAGTATAACACCTCGTATATCTAAGTGTATGATTATATGTGATAATGTTGGTTAAAGGGGTAGGATATGTGAAAATCCTGAAATTAGGGCCAAAATAAGTAAAAAAGGAAAAGTGGTAATTTACCAAACACATAACCCTAGGCATGAAAAATTGAGTAGAAGGCCTCAAATGATAAAAATAAGCCCGAAAATGGATTCATTGTGAAAAATCGAGTGGATAGGCAAGTTTCGGAAAATTTGATGAATAGTGATTTTACCGGTGTAAAATACTGCAGTATAATAGTACAGATAAGCATGAAAATATGATCAGTATTTTTAGTAAATAAAAATATGACGTGAACGAGAAAAATACATAGGTTATGAATTTGTGGGTTAAATAATATGATTTAAGAACGTTAAAAGACGCGTGGGACCCACTTTAAGTGATTTAAGTGGTTGGAAGCCACTTAACTCACAAAAATCTGATCCTCTCTCTTCTTCCTCATCGTGAGCTTTCTCCATTTAAGGGCAAGAGATCTTTTTGAACTACAACTTGGATTTCTAGCCACTTTTAGGAAAAACTCTCAACTATAAAATTGTTCCCCACACTCTTGTGTATGACTTTCATGTAAAGTGCATCTTGTGGGGAGCATTGTGGAGGGAGAAAACACCATAAATCAGCACAAAAATTGTGACTCTTAGGAGAAATTTTGGGGATTTTTGTGTTTAATCATTGGTTGGAGATCAATCCCTTGGACCATTGGAGGCTATTGGTGGTAAGATTTCACATTCACATTTAGTTTTCCATTAGATCATAAATTGGGTGAGGGTTTTGAAGTTGTAAGTTGAGTTATGGTAGTTAGGAGACTTAAATGGTATGTATCCTTTGGAATTAAATGCTTAGAATGATAAATGATTATGATTGATGTAATAAAAATTATTGTGGATTGGGAATTTTAACTTAGGCAATTTTGTGATGAGTTTTCAAGACTTTATGAATTTGCATGATGATGGGATTATATAATTGAATTATGGAGCATTGGTATGAATTAATAATAAGATTGTATTATATGTGTTAATGTTAAATTGAATTGAAAGTCTTAGTTTATGCCTCTTGAAGAATTCGAACAATAGAAAGAATGTAAGGAGAAATTGATGGGAAATTATGGTTTAATCAACGGTTGATGTTTTAGTGCATAATTGTTGAGTTGATGAGTAAGTTTGATGAGTCAAGTGGTTGAGATAGTTGAATTAATGGTGAGAGGGCCATTAGGCCTAAATGGCTAAAATTGGTTATAAGTCTTGTGCAATTGATGAATTGTTTGCAATTGATTGATGGTCATTGTTGTTGATCATATATGTTGCCTCTCACGGAACCAATAGAGGGGGATTAAACTTGGAGCGTATGTTTTGGAGCAATGTACTGTAGGAAATCTTAGATTTATGCGGAAGCGGTTTAGGACCTAGTACATTGGTATGCTTACCGAATCATCCTTGTTTCACAATTACCTCTCGGTGCGCAGGTCTCGTGTAGAATCTTCCCTTGTAGGATTCCTCTTCACGAACAGCTCACCTCAGCGCCGCAGTACGAACAACCTCCTTGAAGCTGGACTGTGGCAGATCTTCCAAACTATTTCTCGAGGAGGAAGGGGAAGTGTGTGGGCACTGATTAGATTCTGAGCTTGCCTCTTTCTCACAAAAAAGACCTTCGGAGGCTGATGACTTAAGAGGTACTATTTATATGGGTTCCAAGAAACCCTAGCTCATTGGGCTCTAGGTTCCTTGGGCTCTTCTCATACTAATAACCCATTTGGGCTTTAGTAAAAGAGCAAACCCAACAATCTCCAACTTGCTCTTTTGGATACAAACTTGAGTCGTAAAACCCAAGATCATGTAACCCATAAGTCATCATCTATCCGAAAAATACCCCATCCCTTGTCTCAAGCTAGCTTGGGGATCTACCATCTGTTATTAATCAAGGCTCCTGATAATCAACAGATGATTATCTAATTCGGTGCTACTCCACTAAAAGCCTGAACTTGAACTCCAAGATTAACAACACTTATAACATGAATATGCATCGCCCCTTTGTAGAATGTCTATAATTGATTGACAAGTTTTCTGTAACTCAATCAATTATTTATTCCCTTGACTATGATAGTTTCTCTGATGGATTACATGCACTGGCCAGTGTCTTTAATATCCAAGTACCGAAACATATCAAGGGGACATATCCTACAAATTCCATGTTGTTTATCTCATAAATACCGATAATCAAATAATTTCACTCCCAAAATACCGAGTTATTAGCCGTCAATAGATCGGACCTCACCCGTTGGTAAATCAAAGAATGAAAACTATTTGATTACCTATTTATAATAAACTCAGGATTAAGAGCAATCACATAACTATAGTTAACTGGAGATTTGATACCTTATGACAGAATAACAACCTTAATCAAATCTCTCCTTGATCCTTTCAATGTGAATGTTAATTCACACCAATATTTTACAATGATTCGGACAAAATCATTTCAAAAAATATTGCAGCCTGAATAAAGTGCCCAACTTTATTTAACGGCTGTGACTCCATTCATCAATTGTGAGAACCTATGATCATGTCCTCCATGAACGTATCCATATGATCATATACTCCACAATTTGATCCGGACCTTTATGTTTGTAAATAGTGCGCAAAATAAATAAATAAAACCTTATTTATGAAATTTAGAAAATTATTTTATTGTTTCATCGTCTTACTCCAAGAGTACAATGAAACCAATAACTCCCACTTGCTTAATGCAAGTCTGAGATCCTCCTAAGACCCAAAGAAGTAACATGCCTCTCGAACACAAGTTCAGGCAAACTCTTAGTAACTGGGTATGCAAGATCCACCTCTAGTTCTATCTGAGTTTAGTGAAAAACACATAGCTCAAGGTTGATTTTCGTGAGTCAATATCCACTTGAAATAACTGAATTTTTGAAAACTCAGCTTTTCAAGACTCCCACTAGAATATACCAGCATATAATCTCTCGTTCTCCAAAGATACTTGAGAACATGCTTAACAATAATCTAGTATTCCTCTAGGTTTAAAATGATACTATCTCACTACTCCCACTGCGTGACAGATGTCTGGTTTAACGCCCAACATGATATGCATGAGTCTACCTTTGCCAAAGCATAAGATATCTTGCTCATGCATTCTTCCTTCTTAGAAGTCTTTGTTTACTCCTTAGGAAGATGAATTCCACATCTGAGAATTATAATTCTTCTCTTAGAATTCTCATGTTGAATTTTGGCAAGAGTTTTGTCAATGTAAGTAGCCTGATGTGATGCTAACAACTTATTCTTCCGGCCTCATAAGAGTTTTATCCCAAGAATATAATTGGCTTCCCCAGTACTTCCATACCAAAACACTAACTTAGCCAACTCTTTATGCTTGATATTACCTCCACATTGTTTCTAATGAGGAGCATATCATCTACATAAAGTACCAGAAAATCTACTGTCTTCCATTGTATCCTTTACATACAAATACACATCATTCATCAAGGTTCTCTCAAAATCAAAATTTTGATAACATGATCAAAACTGATGTTTCAAGACCTGGATGCTTGCTTAAGTCTATGAAATAGACTTTCATAACTTGCATACCGTGTGTTCCTACTCATTTGTTATAAACCCTTTTGGTTGTTGTATGTAGATATCCTGACATCCAACTCTCAAAATGAAATCTCTTAATTGAGACTTATAGCAACTAAGAGAATCTGGATAGACTCAAGCATGGCGTCTGGCAAAAATTGCCTCCAAGCTAGCTTTGAAGGTTTTCACCTTTCTGTCCATCCTCTCTTTGCCTTTTATGTCCACATGCACCTTGTGGGTTTTACCGCTCTTGGTGTCTTTACTAGGACCGAACGGAGTTGAAATACAAGTATTTCATCTCATTGTTCATAGCTTGAGCAACACTTGATCAACAACATCTTCTAGTGCATTATCGTAACTAGTAGGATCAATATCACTCAACAAGAGACAACTTGAGAGTTAACAAGGTTCTCTTCCACTACGAATGTACTCCACTAGACCT